CATTTTGGCATATCTTCAGTTGGTTATCATTTCTCTATTCCTGATTGCTTTCTGAGCATAATAACCCACCGCTTATACTAAAATTAGCGTTTTCTATGTCTAACGAAACACGGAATATGAAACAATCCAAAACCGGTACATTTTTCATATTTGGAGTGTACAACTGTTAAATGGTTAGTTAGTGTGACAGTCACGAAGAATACCATTCCAGACACAAATACAAGAACAAAAGGTTCAGGGAAGAGTCGCTTTTCGCCAAATTCATTCACTTGGCTGTACAATTGCATTTGTATGCAATTATTTCGTGTGTGTGGCGAAGCGTGAACTTCGAATTTACCATGCATATCATTACAATTAAAAGGCAGCTGATCGTTAATTATTTTTTTGCCTGCTTCCACGGTTCCAAGTCCCTTCCTTGACCCAGGAATTATCTAATGTCACCAAAGAAAACAAACTGCGTTGATAATCCTTGCCCAAAGAGACGCTGGCTGCAGACCCAGTAAGTAATCCCGGAACTACCAGAAGGCACTCCAGAAACTGATCAGATGAATAGTAACTACCGCAGAAAGCTGTCACCAAACTCAAACTAGATAAAGCAGCGGGACCTGATGGAATGACTCCAGAGGTATTTAAGTACGGTAGAGACAGTTACTATCTGCATCAACTGAGGTTCTAAGCAGCGTTTGGAAATCAGAGGAAGTCCCATCGGCTGGTGTAAGTCACTGATTATCCCCATATACAGAAGGGAGACAAGTCTTCCTGTGATAATCACAGAGAGATTAGCTTGACTAATATAGTATCTAAAGTCCTAGGCTCAATAATCATGCGTAGACTAAGTGGTGCTAGGGAGGCACAAACACGAGAAAGCCAGGCATACGTTAGACCAGGAAGAGGGTGTATTCATCATATCTTCACCCTCCGACAGATCCCAGAACATAGGCATCCTTACCGGCGTCCAACAATCATCATATTTCTTGACCTAAAGGCGGAATTCGATTCTGTCGACCGAGAGGTTCGCTGGCGATGCTTGGCTGTAAAGGGAATGCCGAGAAAATACATTGCACTGATTAAGGCACTCTACTTGTACTCATACAGCTAGGTGAGGGCTTACGGCGAGTTGTCATCTGAACTGGTGACAACTAGTGGTGTCCGTCAAGGATGCCCATTATTCCCATTTCTATACAACTTCATCATAGATGTACTGATGGACTTAACCCTGACTCACTTCAGCGACTCAGGGATTGACTCGCTACCAGGGAATAATCTCGTTGACTTAGAATATGCAGACGATATAGTCCTTCTAGGCGAGGACGCTGACAAAATGCAGAGTCTTCTAAACATCTTGAGCTGTAATCTACGAGTGTTTGGTATGCGATTCGCTCGCGCCAAATGCAAGATGATGTTACAAGACTGGACTACACCGACTCCGTGATTAGAAATAGGAAGTGAATTGGTAGACAACGTTGACCGCTTCACTTATTTGGGGAGTCAAATCAGCTCCAACGGGTTGATCTCGGAAGAAATCTCAGCACAAATACAGAAGGCTAGTTTCACATATGCCAGTTTAAGCCGTCTCTAGCGTGGACGTGATATCTGGCTGGCTATCCACCAAAGGGCGTGTGTACTGCTCATCAGTCCGCTCCGTCCTCCTTTGTTGACAATTAAAGCGGAGAACGGTACAAGTTTTTATTCGGTTTTGGTCGTCCTCTTCGAACTTGTACACGATCGAACCATTCGCGCCTTCGAGTTGCCCAAGAATGGCTACCAGTTCCAATAATAAATGTTCAATGCTCACCTCCATTGACATTAGGATTGACAAACAAGCATACAAACTAGTCAGCGTTATTGTTTACGTCATCAAGATGTTTCAGAAATGTGGTGAATAATCAAATTCTAACTGGGTGGATGAGTGAGGAGTGCTTAAGACTGGTAAGTATTGAGATATGAAAGACACACAGACAAATAGCATGTTAATGAAAGTGCATACAGACGTGTGTCGAAAATAAATCATGTAATAGGTATGAAGAGTAAATAAAGGGTTGGTTAATAAAAGATGTTACTAATAAGCCATACGAAAATTCGGAAATGCATTACTGTCAGTCACGTCTCGTAAACCGTCAATGCCCAGCTCTTGCTACGCTGGGACTCACGCTGTTCCTCGAAGTTTCTCAGAAACGCTTAGTAATAACGGACGCAAAACCAAAACACCGATTGGTTACTCGAGAATTCTTTATTGTAACACCAATATATACCCAACTTTAAAATTAAGCTTTAACTAAGGTCTATGAACAAATATTACAATAATAAATCACAATATTACTTCTGACAGTTTTGGCCTGACTTCTTTCTGAACAGCGACCGATGAGACGATGACTGGTGTATTGATGCCTGCGCGAAAATATAGGGAAGTTGGGTTTGAGCAAACAACCATGAATCGATCGTTCAATCTTCAACTACATTGACAGTTACTAACAAAGTAGTAGAAGTTGGAATTATTCCCAAGGCACAAGGAGGGCGTGGAAAAGTTTCCTCTGTGTACATAAATCAGGGTTTTCTATCCGTATCACTAAGGCCTCGATCGTGCAAAGTATACGGAATACTAACATTCTACGGATGCTTCCTTCGACTTTGTAGATGACTGGTGGGTACACAGTTGAAATGTGATTATTCACCACATTTCTGAAACATCTTGATGACATAAACAACTGACTGCCTGCATTGGTATGTTTATTCCATTGACTAAATCCGTGGGGGAAGCCAAACCCTTGTAGGCTTTTTACCAACGCACAATCTATCCTTCTGGCATTTAAAACAATGTGCTCGGAAGTGACATTGTAGAATGCAGTGTTAATGCGGAAAATTAACCAGAGCGATTCCCTCCATGTGGTGATGAAATAGCGTGCATGTAATTTGTCTAGTTTCTTCCTGATGTATGCTATGATCTGATCATGGGCGTCGGGCAACTACGGTAATGGGGTGACTCCCATTGCATTCACTCTGGTGTCTAGTATGAACGCTCTAGGCGTTGATGAAGTGTCGGAGATTGGGTAGAAAGATGATGCATTTCTCCAGTTCGTCAAATGACTTTCGGCACTCTGTCTATCGTATGAATCTCATCCATATTGACCTCGTAATTGTGAGAATGCTGCTGATTAGGCCTAAGCTGTCCATAGTATCACATTAGATCGACGATCTTCATGAGATAGCCAGGTGATTAAGGTGAGTCACTGGTTAGTATGATACTGGTCTCGCTTTGGTAAGCTTGAATGCCTTGTGGTGTTGTGTGATTAGCCAGCAAAATTACTTCGCTCTGGAGAAAGTGACACTTGACTGGCTTACGTAAGACATAGTTGTCACTTGGTGGTCTTCTATTCTAACTTCAGCCCGACTGTTTCGCACTAGATTAGAAGCTTTCGTGGGATTCGTTTTGTCTTGGTTAACTATTAATTATCTATCTGCACTAAGTTTTCTCACCTAATGTCTGTATGTAGTTGGAGTTTTGTCGATTCAACCTACCTGAAAGTTTTAAGAGTCGGCCGGCTGTTTGCAAGGTAGGTCGGTGTGATAGTTGCTTTGTTTCGTTAACTGCTGTTTGTGAGCCAGTATTTCTATTTGAGGTGAGTGATTCCCGATTTTTCATATTGCTCATTAGTGAATACTGAGAAACTGGGAAGGACGACTATGTTATCAAGTATGCCCTAGTGAAAACATGTCAATAGTTAATCCGTATTTTATTCGGTCAAATAACTAGTACTCAGAGAGTGCGATTGTAACAACCTCTGTTTACGATAACAATGGGCATTGTAAATGCACGATTGTGTTCAGATACCTGCCAAAATGTTTATGTATTGGGATACGAATACTGAATGGTGTTAGGAGTTGTCACACAAACCACTTTACGAACTTGGCTACTCACAAGTATTAAATTGTGTAAATATCCACTGCCTTCTTTAAATACATATTCCCAGTGTTAACCCATGACGCCTCAACTCGCCATGTTACGTGACATGATTAACACAATTGAATTTAATTCTCATTTTGACGAAATGCAATTCAACTCAATAGTGCAATTATCACAGCGCTAAAACCAACTTTGGGCTGAATTAAATAAATCGACCAGTATAAACCAGTTCATACTGAGTAAAAAATCTAGCCCTGCTTTGTATGCTTTAGGTATCTTACAATTTGTTATAAAATCTATGCATTCGACTAGGATCAGACTGTATTTGTAGCCCCCTCTATGCTTGTACCAAGCATAACCTCGGCGTCTGTAGTTCATCAGTTAACGAGTTTGTGAAACTGACGTCCTGTATTGTAATGGGATCACAGACGTCACAGTGTCAGTGGCGAAAGGTGCATTCGACCTAATAACTTTGAAGATTGTTAGTCAGGATATGTGTGAACTGGTGCGTGACAGAAGCTGACGTTACTAGCGAACCAAACACTTTCCGCTTCTCACATGTAATAGATAGTCTGCTTAGAATGCACCGCCATGAAGACCATTTTACAGAAGCTGACGCAATCCAATCAACAACAGAAAAGCTGCTGCAGCAAACAACTCTGCAATTACGTGGAGCCGCTTGCTCGTGCACCACAGCTTATGAAAGATTTCCTGATCTTAAAGTTCTACTTTACCGTCCTCTCTGTTTGGTTTCCATCATGGACGATTTGACTGCTGGCATTAGTGGATCATTCCAATTACTATTATTTGTTGGAAGACGCTGTCTAGCATAAGTTGACAATTGCTAACAGCCTAATCTCTGTCAATCCTGAGCTCTCTCTCTCAATATAGCGAATTTAACCCTCAACACTCAATCACCTCGCCTAGATATCACACGATTTTCTGCTTTTGTTTCCAAGCCATAGACTGGTGTCACTCGTGTGACACAAGATATCTCGCATCATATTACGAAGATTGTCATGCATGCAATTGCAGAGCTCTAAATACAGGTGTTGCGTTGTCTCCCTGACGAGAGCATAATACAAGATTGCAGTCGTGAATGATTGTGAAAATTCATCTTTTGATCCCTTGTCTTTGTTTTTCTGCAGCAATCACGAATATCTCATACAATGCCGCGGTAAGTAATTCATTTTGCGTCATGTTTTACTTTTTAAAAAGCTGGTAATTTAAAACTCTGGAATGACGCTTCAAGTGTGGTAAATATTCCTTCAAATAGTGTTAGGATTTAGCGAAATTTTGACTTGTGGCTTCATACCTACATCACTTTCAGTCACAGTTGCTCCAGGGCACAAATGGTCATAGCCGTGACAGTGCACCGTATGGCCTTGGTCGTATTTGTAACTACATATATGAACGAAAATTCCTACGGTGCAGTATCATTGATTGTTCTTATGCAATTTCCGATGATTCTCTCATCTTTGTTGAATATCCACAGGACAATGTTCTATATAGAACATTGGGCTACATATGTAGCCCAAGTGTGTTTGGGATGAATTTTCCTTTAAAACGGATGCCGTTTAGTTACGTCACTATGAAGAGATCCTTAGTAGATTTTTATTGAAGTTTGATAACTAAGAATGTTAGTCTTTCTCTCTGGTATGTGTGCTTGTACTTCCTGTTCTTGAACCGGCCATGTATAAAACACTGCGATTCGCTTTCAAAAGTGTATGATTTGTTGGGATAAGCAGCACTCTAGTGTAATATACATCCTTCTTGTCTTAGTTTTTGAAGGTATTACTTAATATGACAGCTAGTTTAGTATCTTAAAGGGTGTTCCCACTTCATCATGTGCACTGACACTTGCTTGTCAAGTGTGTGTGGACGCGCACATATTCTGTGGAGAAACCTAAGACTGTTCAAATGTGTATGCCGTGTAAGTATATCATTGTCACCCTTCAGGTCGCTCCAAAATTATCGGTCATCTACATAGAGAACTACAGGAAATTCTGTGATCTTGGGTAGTCCCATAGTGTACAGGATAAATTAGAAGGGGCCGACTACAATACCTTGTTGCACACCAGATTTTATCGTGGTTCAGAAAAGTAGTTCGCTGGTGATACTTTGTTTTCCACCTACAAAAAATTATTCGATTCAAGGAAGTAGACTGCCCATGACTCGGAAAATTTCCAGTTTTGTTAGCAATCTGCTAGGAAGCACCTTTACAAAGCCTTGCGGAAATCATTAAAGACAGTTTGGCCTCTTCTAAGGCTGGGCTACGGCCACAAAAAGTGGAATATATGAAGACGTTAACTATGTCTACTCATAGGTGTTTACCTTCTGCCTCTTTTTAGATGTTACATTATAGTGAGGAAAAATGAAGTTACGACGCAGAACCTGTCTGTTTTCAACATAGAACTTTGCACCGATGTGCAGCACTTCAAATCGCCACACCATGTATCACACAAAGCAAAAGAAGATAGTAGAAGAAATGCAAAATAGAGACAGTAGATAGGGAAATGAGACAAAAAGAATAATAATGACGAAGAACAAAGTAGTTTCTTTGGAAATTACAAGTCACAAGGAGTGGATGCATCTGCGCCATTGAGAACTATTTTGAGTTATATCACCAATTGTCTCCAGTTATTGTTGTTTACCGTCCTGAGGACCCCAACCAGCAGTCAAAAAGTTTACAGCTTCTTACGTGGCTTGAATTACTGTTGCAGATTTCATTGACTGACGAAGCCATGTTATGGTTTGACCATCACTGGCTCTTTTCCAACCTGATCCATCCAATGTCAGCTAACACTGCCCGCCGAGGAAGGCGATGACTAGGCATACGTAACGCAGGTCCTAACCATCTTGATCGGTGTAACTTCACAGCCTCGTCGATTGATCTCCCCTCCTTAACTAGCACTCGACCTATGCCACCCTATTATACCATCTAACATGGGAGATAGAACAGAGGCACCTATGATCAAAGACGACTGGCTAGGCTTTAAATATCTTCCACTCTCAATGGCCAGGTCTCACAGCCATAAAGGAGGACGGAGCGGACTGATGAGCAGTACACACGCCCTTTGGTGGATAGCCAGCCAGATATCACGTCCACGCTAGGGACGGCTTAAACTGGCATATGTGAAACTAGCCTTCTGTATCTGTGCTGAGATTTCTTCCGAGATCAACCCGTTGGAGCTGATTTGACTCCCCAAATAAGTGAAGCGGTCAACGTGCTCTATCACTTCACTCCCTATTTCTAAGCTGGGAGTCAATGTAGTTCAGTTTTGTAACATCATCTTACATTTGGCGGGAGCGAATTGCATGCCAAACGGCACAAAGTAGGGAAAGTCAGTCAAAGTGAACCTTGCGTCGATTTACATGCCTAGGATATGTGTTTCAAGCCATCTCCTTCGTCAAGCAGTGCTAGCTGAAATGGGATTTGGTTGGAAAAGAGATTGGGATGGTTAAACTAAGAGGTAAAATCGATCCATGGAATCTTTAAGTATTAGAGTCATGCAGGCAGATGTAGACTGTATGAACACTAGGACACTAGAAATCAATCACTGAAGATGATTAGTGGTGTAGCTCAGAACTGTCCTTAGTGACATGTACTTACTATTTTTGTCGTCCTGATTATCCGTCATGTGGTTATTCTTACCCCCCCCTGAATTTGCGATAATTTTAGTTTCTTTACATTTATTTTTTCGCTACCTGTATATTATGCTGTGTCAACTTAAATTGCTGCACGTTTGTGCACATTTTGCGCTTAAATTCAGTTGATCCATAAAAGTTTTATCAGACAGAATTTTTTTCGGAAACCATGCTATGTTAGATAAAAAGTTTTATTCACCATATAAGTTATAACAGCTTTCTTGACTATTTTTGCAGTATCTTAATTATAAGGTACTGGTAAGACTAACAGACTTCAGTTTGAAGGATAGCGCTTAGGCCCTCGTATTTAGATAGGAGTTAATAACTTATCCTTTCACTCTTGTAGTAACACTCCTGGTATGATAGATAGTGTAAGGTTAGCATTCAGTAGACTGGTTATGCCAGCAGCCAATTCCTTGAGAAGCCTTAGGTGAAGTTCACCGAGCCCTATGGAGTTCCCTGTATCTAGCTTGCTCAAAGGCGACGATGTTTTAGTCGTTACCGACACAAATGCATCTTGTTATGAGATTAGAACTGATACTACGTGTCATGGTGATGCCTGTATAAAGACCTTGACAAAGTATTCAGTCACCACTTCTTTTTAATACTTGTTCTCTTCGATTGTCTTTGTGAATAACGAGCTTGGAAACCCCGTTTTGAAGTTCATTTATGAAAATCATTTCTTATGTTACGTTACACTTTGAATTCTATCCGACATTGTCAGATTGTTGAAATAGAATTATTTGTGGTTGTAGTGAACCTCTTCCTGGCATCTGAAATCAGAGATTGCGCTACTGAAACAATGAAACAGTTAAAGTTAAGATGGCACAAATTTTCATCTCAGTATTACATTTGTATGCATATTATCATGTACACATTCTTTCGAACTGTAATTCTATCAATTTTACCGACTGGATATTATTTAAGAAACACCAAGGTTATCAGTAACGATTACTCTTTAAATATTATGTGTATATTTCACGGTAGAACCCCCTGTCTAATCAGTCCTGAGTTTAATCCCAGTCGAATTCCTAAAGTGGAACGAAACTTGTCCAGTACTCAGTTTTCTGGTGGTTCTCCAGCTGAACTCACTTCATGATCTAACTCAAAATGTGTCAAATTCCTACAAATCTATATTTAGGAATGGAACAAATGTTGAGGTTCTTTAGGGAAAACACTAGCGCTTGTCTGGCTAGCATGCCTGAACTACGGATTCTTAGAATGTTCGTGTTACCAACATAAAGAAAGCGCAAAATTATTGTCCGAGCCTGGGTGGATGCGTACCCGTTAAAACAAAACTCAGGACAATAAATCATCTCCAGGTGGGCTAGATGTTCAATTTAATTTTGTATTTTCCAATGATTGATTATATTGCACTCAAATGCGCGGTCTCTTGACATTTTTGCTCCTAGCACAGAGGCTTCGATGATATCTGAGGATTAACATGAGGTGATTTGGTGGATGGTGACTAACAGTGTGTTATATACTAGTTTTCCCCGTCGCCAAATTGTTATGTTCTAGTTTCCCCGTCGCCAAATTGTTATGTACTCGTCGCTGAATTATTGTTATGGACTGGTCGAGAAACTAATAGTCCTGACGCGAGAAGGCGGAAATCAGAAGACCACTAGGTTTGCGATGATACTTCTATTGTCCAAACACAAGGAGACGAAAATAAATGGTCTCACACCAAAGTGGTATGCAAGTCAAGTAGTTGTAAAGTAAAGTAGTTCACACAAATTGAAATGCGAATATATATAAATAATTCAGACAAGCGTGGGAAGAATCATTAGACAGTCTTAACATGAATGGCTAATTATAATGGAGTGTCGATCCAATTATACATAGCGAATATAGCAGACATGCCAACAAACATATATGGATATATGTCACCAAGCAACGGACTGTCAACAAACACTCATATTATATATAATATAATATAAGGAGAATACACATTATTAAAGGAGACAAGTCCATACAAGTGAAGTGGTCACAGACTAACCGAACAACAGAAAGAGAGACCAACATGCACACACACACATAAATATATATATGTGGATACATATCACCTCCCCTTTTGAGAAGATGAATGATTAGTAGGATGTTTACCTGGGGGTTTATCTGGGACCTTTGGGCTTGTTGTTGACGCCTGTCGTTTCGTCTGATTGTTGGGTTTGCGGCTTCGGCTCCGTCCGGAATTGTCTAGCATTTTATGCTTCTTCACTGTATTGCGTAGAGAATTTAGTGGGACATCAGCCAGATGCAAACGATCGAACCAATCAAGTCCCAAAAGATTTAAATCATTCTTCGTGACGTAACAAATTCCTGTGAATTTGGTATTGCGGAAAGAAACAGAACATTTGAGTTCACCAACTAGTTTGAGCCGCCCACCACAGGCGCTGAGAAGAGACTGGGAAGTATTGGTGATAGGTGGTCTGCCAATATAATTCCAAAGTTTCTCTGATATAACAGTAATATCAGAGGCGGTATCTAGCTGCAGACGAGTATCATGACCATTCATCTGAAGGTCAA